TTGCGGGGAGGAGAGCACACACGTGCCTCACTGAGGAGTTTCTGCCTTTTGGATTGTAGAAGAGTATCGGCTTCCTCGAAAACACATCCAGGGCCTGGAAAAGGCCCCCACACCTGGCAAGAAGAAGTGACAGACTCTTGTTTCATGTGGTTGATCCAGAGGAAATCCAAGCTGTGGGCTGGTAATTTATATGAGTATTTTCTGCTTTTGCAAATTAAAAAAATATATAATTCTTTACCAAAATAAATTTTTATTCTAATCCAAATTTGATTTCCCTCTCGTTTCCTCCACTTAGCTAAAATGTTGTACGAAGTTTTCAGACCAGAAGTCATTTTAAATGGACACTCAAGGCCGTTGTGGCGTGCCTTTTCCATTCATGTGGTTTCGGTCATTTTAGTTCGTCCTCTGCTTTCGGGACTGAACAGCCCATCCAGAGTTCAGGCAGGTGGGCCCTTCCCAGTTTTGAAGTCGCTCTACCAAATATTCAACAGCCTCTTGCTATTCTTACTACCTAATTAACCTCCTAGCCCAGAATCATTCCTTCACATCTTTAAAGGGCTGTTTATATAGATATTTATATTTGTCATCAATCAAGGCAAAAGAAGGAAGGGTTGACCCTGAGTTATAGCAAAGTTTAGGCTATACAGAAATAAGAAACAGTGAAAGCACATTAGGACATGGAATTCTATACAACAATGATTTTTCCCCAACATTGGCAACTGCCACTAACAGCCGTAAGTTGTGATGTGGCTGCAAGATGATGGCTTTGCTACAGTGAAGTCTTAGCCAACAAATGCTTTCTTTAGCCTCAAATTTCTTCACCTGGGGCTCATGGAAGAGGTCTTCAGTTGACCTTCAGAGGGTCCACGAACTTCTCCGGAAGAGTGTGCAAGATTTTGTATGATCATTTTCCTAAAAGAGGTTACCATGCTTTTGTCAAATTCCCAGCAGGATCATGTGATGCCAAAAAGGTTCAGAACCCCTGCTGTGGTCCCTGCTCAGTTTGTGGCAGTCATTTCCGTACCAGGGCTCTCCTTGCACGATAGGAAGAAGGGCTGAGCTGAATAACTGCAGAGTTCTTTGGTTTTACCATCAAAAAAACACACTTCAGTTTACTTCCCTTTTTCCCTTGGTCATACCACTTTTGTTTTTTTTAAACCAAGATAAAGGCTTGAAACTATCTACAGTATTCACAAATTCCCCACCTGGGGCTTGAAAAAGAAGGGGATGAGTATGAGTGTGTGCGAGGTCCCTTGCCTTTTGTTATTAGGCCCCGAATAATTGTCCTTTTCACTGCTGACTCACTGTAAGTAAACTCCTTTTTTACCGATCCATTCTGTTGACATAAGCTACATGAAACTGAGAAAGAGATTTCTAGAAATTGACCCCAAACAAGATTCTGTTACAGCAGAACCCTTGGACAGACAGAGTTTGATCTAAGGGAGCACAGTATGTTCAGCAGTCATGAAATATGGTCCTCATATGAATACAAATAACATGTAGTACTTTATAAAGTTCTTTCACAGACGTGATTTGTTTTGCACAACCTTGGAGGGATTGGAGCCTCAGAGAGGGGTTGTGTCTTGCCTTGTTAATCCCTGCGCAAGACACAAGCCAGTAAATGGTGAGGCTGCATCTAAGATGAACATCCAACTCTTCACTGTGGTTTGACCGAGAATTCTGCTGTGAAACAGTGTTGTCAAGACTTGCGCTTCGAACGGTTTTTCCAGTAATGGTGACACATTTGCACTGACTCATCTTCCCTTTCCTCCTTGTGAATGACATAGGTACATGTGAGGAGGCAGGGGAGAGTTAGGCTGTGCAAAGGATTCCTTTTTCTATGTGCTAAACTGCATAATCTATACCAAGGTCAAATGTACAACTTTAAACTTAATCCCATATTGTAACCAAATGAGTTTCAGTGAAAAGCAGAAACTGCTTCATGTCTGGGTTTTGGCAAAATTATTGAAAGATATACTTCTTGGAGGTCTAGGTGAGCAAACATTACAGATATGCCCCATTCCTGGACACTTTTAAGAATGTCTATTGGACAGGGGGTGCTCTCCTAGAGGGAGGCTGGGAGTGGACTGGATGAGCTCCGGGGGCCCCCATTCATTGCACTGTGTGTGATCAATACTGGAAGGCAGGCGAGAATTTGTTTCTAATAACTTTTACGTGGTTATTGCCACGGTTACTGAGATGTTCCTTTGATGGACGTCAGAACTAAGGTGAAAGGACTGTTTTAGTCATCTAGCCCTCTTCCTCCAGGTGAGATGATCTCAAACTTTCAAAGACACATTCCTATCTAATTTTAAAATAATTCTGAAAATAGAAGAATCATTGCTTAACTCAGTAGCCTATTCTGGTGTTCAATCATCCTTAGCTCCAGAAAGCCCCTCCTCTTTTCTAAGTACTCTTTCTGTAGTAAGTCCCCTTTCCTCTCCTGCTCTGTGAGGATGCAGAATAGCCAGTCACCTAGGCAGCACCCCCAGCCCATGCCTTTGGACGGTTTTCTCAAGCTGATTTGAACGGTAGCCTGCATTCCTCCGTTCGTTGGCAAAAGGAAATCTGACTTGGACACAAAGCGTGCGCGTTCCTCTATTCCCACCCCCTCTCCCAGCTCCCGATTTCCATGAGATGAGGAAGCTCAAGGAACACATCTCTGGTCTGAATGATTTTTGCAACCAGCTTTTATTACTTTCTTTAAAACCCATATAAGAAAGACATTTAAAAAGAAAACGTCCCCAAAACAAACACTTTACGCACTGGGCATAACAACAGTAGAAGGCACTCCAGCAGTCATGCCCACCCTGGGAGGGAAGGGACACTCCCTACACACTACTGTTTCAGAGGTAGGGCCTCAGCCTGGGTCCTGGTCTAACTGTGCTTTAGAGAAAGTCTGAATTTTCCCATAGTTTTCTTATTTCATAAACACCACTATCTCTTTATATATAGCTATATGCCTTTATGTATATATGTACATGACTTCTTTTCCTTCTCAAAAATAAAATAGCCACCCCATCAGAGGGAGGTTCTCAGCAGCATTCACAGCGGTTGCACAGGAACCATGCCTTCTATTCATGTTACAGACATGCAGCTTGACGAAAAGAGGACTCTGCACCCACCCCTGTCGATATACAGCAGGGAGAGAGATTTTTTTTAAGCGGGGGGC